AAGTGATATTTGCCTTTGTGTTTTTCATGTGCATTTAAATCCAATCTTACAGACTGATTGTAATTCATAATGATCTTTGCCATGTGGATAACATGCTGCAATATGTAGTTTAGTGTTTTTAGTAGTTTTATAGTATTCTCTGACTTCACTGGCTTTTAAAATAATGTAATGATTGGGAAAAATGGTATGAAACTGGATATCAAACCTCTTAAATGCCTGCTATATCCTCCTTAGTTCAGCACCGATTACTGTTTGATCCGGTAGGATAGTGTTCCAAAGAGCCTGGGGTGAATTGTTGGGAGCTTTGTTTACAGAGACAGATTAGAGTTGTTCAAACACAGCAGAGCCTAGAATAAATGTTACAAGGCCTGTTTTATTAGCCCAGCTGAGGCTTTGAATTTAAGGTTTGTACCATGGGCAGGGGGGTCTGGCAGAAATAAAGAGAATCTGAAACACAGGATGTGTTAATTTCTCTTTAGGCTTTGGATGCTTTATTTACTTTGGACAATTATGTTTTTGTGAGTTTTGGTATATATAGGATCTGTATTTTAAGGCACATTTCTTATAGCACTATGCTGTAGCTCCCAGGTTAATAATCACTGTCTGTTATACTTTATTCTAAGTTTAGCATCTGGCCTGATTAGAAAGTAAAAATAAACAAAAGCATGTAATATCACCAGGAGAGAAGATTTACCTCATCTACTATGATTGCAAATACTCCCACTACTTTTGGACTCTTGGGTCCTGGGTTCGATACCTGGGGAGAGGGGTGATTCCGTTTAGAGTCTGCACGGTCTATCTGTGTTGGCGTGGGTTTTCTCTGGGTACTCTGGTTTCCACCCATCTTCCAAAGACAATGCTGACCAGATGAATTTGGTGTCTTTAAATAATTCTGGTCTGCTTCTCTTTGTGACCTGGGTATAATCCCTGGCAGTTTATGCTTCAGGGATAGGATCCAAGCTGTTGTGACCCTTATCAAGAACAAGCAGCTTTCTGATAATGGGTGATTTATTATAGTAACATGTTGCAGGCATGTGAATTTATTCTATCCTGGAACTAGGTTGAATAATGAACTGAGGTTGCAGTATACAACAGGAGTGAATGTAGGATCTGTCTAATAACAGTCACTGAATTTTCAAATAGCTTTTTTACAAGATGCATTCCATCATCCTGATAGCTACTCTGTGTATGCAATGGGTAGAAATGCAGTAATTTCCTTTGCAAGCTTACAGATTTTAAGCTTCTTATATGTTTACTTAAGCAAGATGTTTTCCCATTAGTACAATTTGTATATTTTGCCCCTCCACACTGAATTAATACATGGTCTTTTTACCATGACATACTAAGAATTTTCGGTTATTGCAGAATTAAAAATGTCAGAGCTTTTTAATTGAAGCCCTTTAGCCCAAATCCAGAGACTAGAGTTGAAAAGCACTTTTGTTCTGATCTGTTGTTTCTTTCTTTTTCTTTTCATCCCTCACTTGAATGTGCCCTCAAAGCCCACATATGGCTATAGCTCAGAGGCCTGAGCCTCTCTCATGTGCTTGCTGGATAGCTCAGAGGCCTGAGCCTCTCTCACGTGCTTGCTTGAAGCTGATTTTTTTAGTTTTAGGAGTGGATGGAGTTTGTGGCAATTCATCACCATTTAATAGACACGGAACTTTTGAATTTTCAAGACAAGCTTGAAGGTGCTGGAATCAAGGTAGAGTTTATTTTCACAGAAAACCATGCTTTGGGCTGGAGAGATGCTTAATGGTGGGAAACCACAGAGTAGTTGGTGCTTTTAAGTCTCATCGACCCAAAATTTACAATGTCTTACTAAAGCTTAACACACATCATTGCAATGCTTTAGACTTACAATACCTTATTATAATAGCTTACTAATGTATAGTACTAGTGTTGCAGTGGTATGTGTAGCTATGTTAAGCTTAAGACAAAAGGCATGTAATTACTGTACATCATCAAGCTGGCTGTGACCAATTATTTCCCAATATCTGGTTTATTGGGCTGTTTTTGGTGCCTGTGAGCTTCTGAGGACCCTTGTTTTCTTTTTAGCCATTGCAGTACAAGAGTGGGAACAGTGAAATAAGTGAATTAACAGCTGGCGGCTCTGAAGTTGGAAGGGGGAAGTGTGATGGAATACAAATACGATTGTTGATTACTGTTTTTTTTCCAAAAAAGAAATTAGACCTACAGTCCAGGTATCTTCTCAGTGCGTGCAGGTTCAACACCATTCAGAAACTGAATGGTAGGGGTTTGTAGGTGAAGTTAAGTGTGCCATGTTTTTTGCTGAGCCTGCCAGGAGCCCAATACAAGGTCTAAGAATCATGCAGAAAAATCTGACTTGCTTAGAAAGCAAAACTCACAGCACAGGTGTCTGTAGAGGAGAGATCTGCAGCTCATAATTTCAAGTTTCACCAAGGGGTGGGACTGAGGAGTAGTTGTTTCTCTGCTCCAGCGATGTCCCATTCTGAGGCCAGGTAGCTAAATAAATAAAAAATAAATGAGCACTATATCTTTGTTAGCCTTTATCGATCACGTGACTGGAGTGTATCATTTACAGATATTTGTTAGAACACATTGCAAACTTCCACATCCATTGCATTTTTTAATGTGACCCCCATGGCATAAAGATGACTATGCAGCACGACAAATCAAACAAAGCTGAACTGAAAGCACAGCAGTTCTGTGTTGGATAGCCTGGCCTCATGCAGGGCCTGACATAGACGCACACACAGTGGACTGAACATTGTCCTAATGCAGAAATATTTGCTTTCATTACTATTGCTTTATGGTTATTTGTTATAAATTTATTTTAATTTCTTTGACTGGTACTTTTCTTCAAAACATAACAACATCTAAAGGGTTACAAACAAGTGGAAGATATTTGGTCTGTCTAACCTGTTTGATAGTTTGTTGCTAATTGATTCAAAGTTTTCTGCAAGCCATTTTGTGAAAGAAGCCAGGGTTGACTGGGCATCTTGTTCCATAATCCCACAACCCTTTGGGTAAAGAAGTTTTGTTTTTGTGCTTTTATGTAGGTTCAGCTGGTGTTCTCTGGCTGACGTTTCAGTGTTCTTTCTATAGAAAGGGTTGACTTTGTCAATGTCTGTGATGGTTTTGAATACTTGTATGAGGTCCCCTCATAGTCATCTTTGTTCTAGAAGAGAAAAGTTCAGTTCCTTTAGCCTGTATTAGTGTAGTACAATTCATTAAATCACACAATGTATGTGATATTTTTTCATCCTGTTGTTTTTGTACCATAACCGGCCAGGTGTTTGCCCAGTCTTGAGTTTTATTTAAAACTTTTTAAGTTTTATTTGCTGATTCTGCAGTTTGCTCATCCTCCTTATTTGATATCATTTGAAAACTAAACTAACTATTCTGGAATCTAGATCATTGATATAAATTAAGTGTAGCTGTGTCCTACGGCACTCTACTAATTACATCCCCCCAATCTGAGCATTGACCCTTGTCTGTACTCGGTTCTCTATTCATTATCAATTCTCAATCCAAACACTTTCTTTTCGTTGAATGCCTCCTGCCTTTAATCTGAGAATTTCCTGTAGGAACTTCACGAAAAGCTTTCTGAAAATCTAAATGCAACATATCATATGCTCCCTGTGCATCATTTACTATTGTTGTTCACAGAATCCTAACAAGTTGGTGAGGCAAGACCTACCTTTTCTACACCCATGCTGACTATTAGAGGCCTACTAGAATTATTAATCATGAGCTCTTCTACTCAAGTACCTGAAACAATTCTGTCTCTTCTGTGCAAATAAGATTCAATACAGTGCTTTGACTTCCTGAGGCAAGTTCTTGATTTCTTAGTGAACATCTGAGTGAAATATTCACTTGGTACATCAGTCAGGACACCAGAAGTAAGAAACATACTCTTATACGAAGTGTCTGGGATCTTTAATAGTCCACAAATGCTGTTATCAACCATATGTTCCAACCTCAATGATGCACTAGTATGATAAGGGAGGTCAAAAATTGTATGGACATCTCCAGCAGTTTAGGTAAAAGAGTTGTGTCTTACCATTGGAATCTGGTACGTGGAACAAGCCTTTGAAATACCCTTTTGGTAGAATCTACAGAAAAATGTTACATTTTTCAGAGATGTCCAGGAGAAATGCTAGAAATGTATAGTCTCTTTTAGAAGTGATAATCTCATTGTTCTTTACTTGATTACATTGCTATCTTTCAGCAATTCCTTATAACTTGATTTTATGGCAATTACAAAACAACCGGTGCTGTTTTTTTTTATCCGCTTTTTGTATTTTGCTTAAATGTACAGCTAGCATGAAAATACAGCAAGGAGTGTCCTGTTCAGACAGGTTGTAACTTGTGCAACAGGTTATGCTGCCTAAAGCATGTGTTTAGTCAGAAGACGTATTTCCATCGCACAGGTGTTTTGACGAAGACGTTGTAATGTTGTAATACTTGAAAGATCATTCAGTCAGTAGCTCGCCTTGGAAAAGGAAAAATAACTCGGAATAGAACCTTTTTTGTCACTTGTTTATTGAGGACGCAAACACAGGTAGTAACGTTTAATTTGTATAACCAAAAAGAATAGGAATAAAGGTGTCTAATGTATATCTCTGTTTTAGTTTAAACATGTAATCATATGTCTGGTGAGGCAAATGAGATGATCAGAAGGCTTTCTCATTCCATTGTGATTTAATAGCTTCTATTTTATTTGCTGTCTTTGATAACAAGAGAAAAAGCACACATTTAAAATTCTCCCCAGTTTTTTGTCTTTATTTAGCCCCACTTTGATAGGCTTAAAGAAGGCATTTTATGTAGCATTTTCAATAATTGTACAGGTATCCTATTTTTTTCCACTCTTTTTTTTTATCTAGCTGCTCAAAAGATTTTGCATGTCCTGTATTCCTTGTATTCCTTTGTTCAAATGAAGAGCTCTTTCCGACTGTCAGTGCCCTTGCATTGTTTCGCTGGGTCTTGTGTAACGGAAGACTGTTATTTCCTTTCAGCTGTATCAAATCTGGATGACGAGAGCAAGTGGACAGTCCACTATACAGCTCCCTGGCACCAGCAGGAGAACGTCTTCCTGCCTAGCAACCGGCCTGCATGTGTGGAGGATCTGCATCGCCAAGCCAAGGTCAACCTGAAGACTGTGCTGAGAGGTGAGGCACTGGGGGCTGAGAGAGTGGAATGGGGCTTTGTCATTCCATGATTATCGGTTTATCAGTCCTTTAAATATACAAAGTCACCACTGGGTGGAGATATGGGATAATTCATGAGGTTTTTGTGATTGATTGTGAACAGTTTCTTTGTATAAAAGCATTAGCAAAATGAATGAATAGTGTGCTATTTGTCTGAGAAGTTAAAGAAATTAAAATTAAGATTTAAACACAGTGACTTAAACATGAATGCTAAATCAAATTCAGGCATTTCCTCTTTCGGTGGTATAGAAACTTTCTACAAGAGGTTTTATCGCTGGGGTTATGCTATTATGGTTCAGTGCAAGTCATATACAGTTTACAAAGTGCTCATCTGAGTGCTCATAGCTTTCCTGCCCCTCTCCCTAGTTCCCTGTGATACCTGAGACCCTCTGATGAAAAAGTGAGGGTACCTCTTCCTGGAACTGTAGAGTTTGTGTAATTAGAGAAACCATCAAAGAGACATAGCAGAAGCTTTTTTATGGTTGTGAGAGACTACACTGACAGTCCAGTTTCAAGGTCACGTGACTTCAGGATGGGCCATGGGAGGATAGATACTGGACCAGTCCACAGGGACTCTTATCAGTAAGGTGACCTGCCTTTGTACTGCATTGATAAAAAAGCAACCTGATCCTAGTATTGATTCACCTTTCCCTAGGTTTTCCAGCTGGGACCTCACACTTAGTATTCCATCTTTCACCCTGGTTAGATAGAAGCCGAGTCGCTAGATTTGCTTCTGCTTTAAGCTTGATAAAATTTTAATGCTGCTAGCCTATCGCCACACCAGGAGATTAGCAGGTGGTCTGTATGACCACCTTGTTTATTTGATGCCTGTGTGTTTCCCAGTAACACAGCAGGTGTCCTCTGTGCTTGTTCATGCATGATACTGGTAGCTGGCTCATTCTCTCCCATCTTTCCTTACAACAAAGGTTTTGCAGAACATCTCAGTGCTGTTGACCAAATTGTGGACTATTGAAAATAATAATAATTGCTTACACTTATATAGCGCTTTTCTGGACACTCCACTCAAAGCGCTTTACAGGTAATGGGGAGTCCCCTCCACCACCACTGTGCAGCATCTACCTGGATGATGCAACAGCAGCCATAGTGCGCCAGAACGCTCACCACACATCAGCTATCAGTGGGGAGGAGAGTATAGTAATGAAGCCAATTCATAGATGGAGATTATTTGGAAGCCATGATTGGTAAGGGCCACCCCTACTCTTTTTGAGAAACGTCCTGGGATTTTTAATGACCATAGAGAGTCAGGACCTCAGTTTTATGTCTCATCCAAAGGACATCGCCTGTTTACAGTATAGTGTCCCCGTCAGGTCCCACATGGACTGCAGGGTAAGCGCCCCCTGCTGGCCCCACTAACACCTCTTCCATCAGCAACCTTAGATTTTCCCAGGAGGTCTTCCATCCAGGTACTGACCAGGCTCACCTGCTTATCTTCAGTGGGTTGCCAGTTGTGAGTTGCAGAGTGATATGGTTGCAAAATGCTATTTTCCAACATTCAAGTGAATTTGAACAATCTGCTCTCTCACCGCAATCCTGAATGAAGATGCCTATACCTTCATTTTGTGTTTTAGATCCAGACAGTATCTGTAAGTACCTGCAGGGTAGTACACTGTATGTACAGTTAAAATATAACACACATGTGACACATCATTAGATGTAATTTCTGAGAACATGAGTTACCTTCTACTGTACAAAACAGAAGTGATACATGAGTAAAAATAAGAAACACAGGGACTGCAACTTTGGATTTTCAATCAGGCACACTAGTAAGCAGTGTTGTCTGGCCACTGTTTAGTTAAGGGTGTGGCACTTGTGAAAGATTTTCAATATGCTGCTGAGCAAAATATCAGTGTCAAAGGGCTAGAACAAGAGGGACACAGAGGCAGTCAGCTGCTCAATATTTGTATGTTCCAAATAAATCAATATTTAATCAGAGTGGCCTGCTCCCATGGGAAGCACACGAGTGTGTATTCTTTGAAATCCGTGAGGCAAAAAATACAGATCCGTTCCTATTAGTCCACAAGCCAAACTGTGCAAGGGAGAATGGTAAGAAATGGACCGGAGCCCAGGACTGGCATGTCAGTGTACCCTACTGTAGGAAGGGCAGCATATCATGGTATCTGGGAGTGAGGCAAGGGAAAACATGGCAGACCAGCTGTCTTGTGTCATGCAGCAAGAAAGAAGAGTTCTCTTCTCTTCATTTGCATCTCATTTCCTTTGCGGGATAAGATTGCCCTGTCGACATGACACACGTAACTTGAACCGAATTACCTTAATTAATTTTGTTGAGTCTTTTCTTTAGGGAGCCTGAATTGAAGTATTAACGCAGTGCAATGCAGGTTTTAGCTGTAGGGCTGTAGCTCACTGATACCTCCTTTTTAGGCTGTATTCATGTTTTTTATATCTGTGAGAATTAAATATAGAATTGTGGAAAAGATACTTTGAAAGTAGGTCATGGGTAACTTATTTTTGTTTCTATATACGTGTAGCACATACCACATGTGATCTGTATGAAATGGAGTGCAGTGAATGAAGGTAATTACCACAGCGGTTAGGCTTTATGAAAAAGAACAAATGAGCTCTTTGATGGAAATTTAATTAGTAAATGTGATGGTTGCTTCATCATCTGAAATGAATTGAGCTGTCACTGTAAAAAGCTAAGGCAGAGTCTTGAATCAGACTGAAAAATATCACTTCGGTGCTCAGAGAGCTATGAAATGTGAAACCCATGAAAATCACACATATCAATAATAATGACATATAAACCTCCCAGATTACATTTCCTATTGACAGGCTTCTAAACCTAAGTTTTCCCTTTCAGTTTAAGGGTGACATCAGGAATCATTGTTATGAACTTGGTAGTGCCTTACTGATAGGAGTCTTACAGTATGTCTCTACAACAGGAATAACATCCCTTAAAACCTCATTTCAAACAAGATTGGATTTCAGAGCAGCTGGAGAGGAGGGTTTTCAGTTGGGTTTCAGAACTGTAATTTACTGCAGAAGCCTGGAAATTAAATTGTTGTCAAATTACAGTCTATTAAACAATTGTTAAACATTGTCTTTAATCATTCGACATGCACAGGAAACAGGCTCGTCTTATGCTGCCAGTGGCTGCAAAACTTGCAATAATAATAAGCAGTACTGAAATAGTATTTAATAAAGCTTTAAGTATGAATAATTTAAAGACAATTCTGCTGTGATAAATAGTGATCATTTAAATCAGTTTCTACTTGCAAGAATTTCTGTATTATACTATATGGAGAGGGTATATTTACTGTTATTTTTAGTTGCAAGTGATCTTATAAACACTTTGATCAATCCAAATTAAAAGGCCTGTTTAATTCATGATCTAATTCTCCTTCTATAGCCTCCTTAGCTACAGTAGATGCATTAAGAATAGTAAGATTCTTAAGGGGGGTCGGTGGGTTTTTGCCTTAAAGCATTTCAGAGCAGACTGTTTTTATACCATTACCTCAGCTTGACATATTTCCATTGTGATCACCAGAAAGCACATCTGCCCCTTTCATGAGCTGTTGTAGATGCTCTGTTTCTCCAATGATGAGTCGTGATCACGAGTAACATTCAGCTTTGTTTGGGGACTGTGGGTAATCTCTCCAGTCACTTATGTGTTTCATTGGCTCCAGACAGTGACACAAACAACCCTTTGGACCCTGTCTACTGTGTGACATTTAGGACTCTGTTTGGATTTAGCAACAACGATACACTTGTTACAAATGTGCCTTTTTTCTGCATCTGCACCCTACGTTCCTTGGAGGATGTGAGAAAGTGCTCTGTGAAAAAAGTAGCATACAAGCTCAAGAATCTTCTGTTGCCGTAATTCCAGTAAGCTTCTAGCCACAAAACATGCAGCTGCTTCCGCATGGTGCAAATTCACAACAGCGTGCCATATGTTTGAGTGAATTCCTAAAGGTGTTAGCTCTTAAGAAGAGAAGTGAGGATCTGTTTGCTTTGCATAATGGGGATAGCAGTGACTCAATGTGGTGGTACAGAGGAATGTTTGTACCCTTGGAAGGAACAGAACTGTGAACAGCATTTTAGCAAAACTGGGGGAAGAGGAAGGAAAGTGGCAGTTATTCCTCCTTTCTCATTGTAGTTGGAGTTTGCACCTCATATAGAAAGACACTCTTTGCAGAACATGCTTTTGAGTTCCCCACGCTAAGGCTTTTTTCAAGATCGCAAGCCCATTCTATGTGACATTACTGCTCCTTCTCGAGCTTCCATGTCAGTGATCAAACACTCAGGAATACCACGTGCTCTATACAGCTTTCCTTACTGTGTTTTCTTTCTCTTTTAATTGCTTTACATCCATGAGAACAACTTCCTTAGTTCAGATTTAATATCCTACACTTACATAGTGCTTTTCTGGACACTCCACTCAATCACTTTACAGACTCCACTCCACCACCACCAGTGTGCAGCCCCCACCTAGATGATGCGATACTGGCAGCCCACACCCACCACACATCAGATATCAGTGGGGACGAGAACAGAGTAATGAAGCCACTTGATGGATAGGGATTATTAGGAGGCAGTGATTGATAAAGGCCAAGATAAAGTTTGGCCAGGATACTGGGGTAACACCCCTACTCTTTTCGAGAAATGCCCGTGAAATGACCATGGAAAGTCAAGACCTTGGTTTTACGTCTCATCCGAAGAATTGCACCTTTATAATAGCATAGTGTCCCCATCACTATACTGGCACATTAGGCCTTACACAGACTGCAAGGTGAGCGCTCACTGCTGGTCCCACTGACCCCTCTTCCAGCAGCAACATTAGCTTTCCCAGGAGGTCTCCCATTCAAATACTGACCAGGCTCACACATGCTTAGCTTCAGTGGGTTGGCAGTTGTGAGTTGCAGGGTGATATGACTTCTGGCTAACTTGCTTCCCTTTCTCCTGAAATCACACATCTTACTTTTAAAGTGTTGCTTTGATCTTAACTTCTTGGCAAGCTTTTAGATGTTGCTTTGCCATATATCAATTTGAATGCTCGTAAATGCTCCCTAGCCATTTTTGTGTTTTCTAGATTGTGCTTCTGCTAGTTGGGTTCACTAGACTTGCTGTTTCCACAATGAACTATCAGTGTTCAAAACCGTTGTTAAGTAGTTTTTCAAGGCAGCACCAAGCCTCTTGCTCTGAGCAAAAGTGAGCAAAAGTTTGGTTTCCAGTTGATTTTCAACCCTAATATAGGATCCCTCAGCTGTGTCCACCTCACCTCTTCCTGACATGGAGTCACCCCTAACAGGTTCTTCAGACAGACACTTCATCTGCCTGCCTGCCACACACCCCATTGTCTTCATTCCTGGTACAAAGAGAAGAAGCTCTCTTTCAGCAATATGACTCCTCTCCCCAACACCGTGCATCCCTGCATTGACTTTGCCATATGCCCAGCGGTTGCCCAGAGCACTAAAGTAATGCTGCTCTGGACTGACAGCTACTGCTGTCCCGTGTGTCTAGCCAAGAGACTGTGCCAGTGAGCAAGGTGCCGCAGTTCTGTCAGAGAATGAGCGTTGTTCCGTCTAAACTGTGGTTGGTATGGCTTCTTCAGAAGGAAGTTCAAGTATTTCGAAATCTCCAGATTTGTGTTACCTTTTTCCTAAGGTATATGTCAGTTCAAACTCTGGGGATTACTCATTTCCCTCTTTGCATTTCTTTTGCCTAGGGAGGAGCACACCTGATAACAAAAACAGAATGCCAGGTTTTGCATATCTTCACTTGTTGGAGTTGTTCTACTCTATGAACTGTACATTAGCGCCAGTGACATCATGTGTCTGATTCACATGCCACAACTGTTGACAACATGCCACGACTTTGCCTTCAGCATATTTCGAAATCCTTCTGAACTGGCCCCAAAGAGTGGGAATGGTAATGGATAGCATGCAAAACAAAACTGCTATCTAGTGTACAGGTATTTATGTGTGTGGGGGGGTGAGGCATAACATTGAGCAGTAATGTATCTTTACAAAATCAGGTGCCCCTCCGGATGTTTTGTACTGCCTGATGTGGAACATAACTGCAGCATGTGCAGTTTATGTGTGGTTACCTTGGATGGCTGGTTGTGGCAGTAAATATGTAACTAATAATAAACTCAAGATCTCATGAAATCAGCTTTGCATGTTGACCACAGTCTACATCTGTTATAGCCACAATTCACTCACAGTGACCAAATTAATGCTTACTGTCAAGTAATAAGATAAAATGTGCTTAATGCTTACTTCTCTTTCATTACATTTCATAAGCTACCGAGTTCCGTAGCTATTGCTGCAATTTACATGAGGAAACTCCCATTTATTTTTAGAGCATGACATATCTCTGTATATGGTTGTACATTTTGTTCTTCTTCATTTTGTTTGAATGTCTAATTCTTTGTCATTCAAACATCTTGACTGTGGAGGGATGAGCTTGTCTTAAGAGTATCAAATGTGGGTTTTAGTGTCAATATATCTCCTGGGTCTAGCTACCTTTGGCGTTTTGTAATTTACTTCTCTTTGAACCTGACAGGCATACTGTTTACCACTCATTTATCTGAGTTAGCTGACCTGATGCATGAGGTTAGTAGTCAGCTGTTCCTTTAATTCCTTTTTTTTTAAAAGCTGCAGGTCAGACCCACATAAAAAAGTCTGAGAAAAAATGTTCCTGGAGAGCTAGAAATATTTTAAACCTCCAGGAACTCTGTCTATTTCTTCACAGGGGAAAAAGCCTTTGGTATACTTCCGCCAAACATGGTGTGAGCCTTAAAGTGAAAAAGAATCCCTCCAATAACTAGACTTGGTGCCGCGTTCTCTTTTGTCTTCCAGAATGTGACAAATTAAGGAAGGATGGATTCCGCAGTTCCCAGTACTACTCCCAGGGTCCTACTTTCTCCAGTTCCAACCTGTCCGACAGCAGTTTGCCTGACCACGAGGATGCTGACAAAAAGGTAAAACTCTGCCAGGCCTGCACCACACATGACTCATGTAATACTCATGTAAGCGCAGTCCTCTGGGATCTGTTTTAGATATCACACGCTGTGTACTGCGCCCTTTTCAGAATGTGATTCAGAAGATTCTTTACCAGCAAGGAGAGGGACATTTAACATGAGTAAGTGAGATGCTGTACTGTAAAAACATAACAGTGTTAACAAACGAAAGCAGACTGCTTGGCTCATAGTCCTTATTTGTTTTTTAGTATCGAAGCATGATTGCCTAATGCCAAGTCTTTCAGCAAGGATTCAGACACATCACAGCCTGGCAGACAGCTGCCTCCTGCCTTGGCTTCAATATACTTATCAAAAAGTGTGAATGTCAACCCATGACTTGGTCTAATTTTATGAAAGATTGTCTAAGAAAATAACAAAGAGCTTGTTGCTTTCCAGTTGCCAGTTTTGATTTTAGTTGAATAATGGTTTAGTTACAGTTTAAATATTCTCCTGCCAATTGTATTATACCTAGTTATCAAGAAATATGTAGTCCAGTTTTATGATTTTTCTCATATTTTGTGTAATTTGAGGCCTTACCCATTGATATAAGACATAAATGAGTTCAGGTTGGTATATAATGGTGAATTAAAGTTCGTAAAAAACTAAATTGAAATCCTAGTTTCTTAAAGAAAACACTCTCTACAGTTGTGTAGTATATTTCACATGATCTGCAGCATTGGATGAAATAAGATTGGTTCTGTAAAGTAACATGAATTTAGTTTAATTAAATGGATCACTAATGATTTGTTAAGCTAATGATTTGAAATTGTGATTAGCAAGTTAAGTAATTATAATCTTTTACCAAAGAAACATTAAATTTAATCTGAAAATATTTTGTTTCTCTTGTGCTGCTGAGATAGTCGTTTCATTTTGTCAGCAAGTTATAACTGCTAAGACTACACTGCCCTCTAGGGGTAGTGCCGAGAAGTACGATTCACTAAAGGTTTTATATGGGTTGTGGGCTAGATTGATGGACATATTACTTTGTCCAAATATTTTCCTGTTTATTTTATCATTTTGGAAACGTATCATATATGTTCTGTATGAAATAAGAATATAATTTGGTTATGTACATGCATTATAAATGCATGTATATATGTGGTATCTCAATACTGTGACTTGCATCTTGCATGATACCAATTCTGTTCTGTGTCAGCATGTATTGTTTTTTTCTGTGTCATTGTCATGTGTCTTTGTTTTTTCTTCTTTGTCTTTTTCATTCAGCAGCCTAGTCTCTTAGGCTGCCTAAGTCAGTCTTGCCTTACTGTGTGCTGTGATTTGAGTCCCTGGAAACACAAGGTACCTGTTCTGAGTAGGGTGTCCTTCTCCTTGTCACTGCGTATGCCCTGCCACTCTGCTGCTATTCCCAGCATCCCCTCACCACGTCTACTCAAAGACTTCCCCTTCTCCTCCCTTCCTATGCTAGAGCTTCCTATGACTTGTGTAATCCTAGGAACCTAGTTTGTTTAGCTTTTTTTTCACAAAGCTTTGGGGTGTTTTACAAACTTTTGGATGCTTTTTTTTTAACAAAGCATGCATTCATCTGAAGAGATTCCCTTCCAAAACATTTCTGTGGAAGTCCATAGCATTTCTTACTAGAACTTGTTGTAGGAGTAGTTTGATGGAGATTTCTGGAGAGAGTCCATATTTCAAACAATTGTGTCAATTTCCCCAGAAATGCTTCACTCGGGTAATATACTTCTCTTTCAGACCTGTATTTGGTTCTCAATCCTTCATTTAAACCCTTCTGCTGGTCTTAGTGCTCTAAGAATTTTTTCTTGTATAATGCTTCTTGTCTTTTGTGTCACTGTCCATCTCTTTGCGCTATATTTTCATATTGCCTTCCCTGGTCATTGCATCATGGGGTCATTTTTGGCAGTATTGCGACAGCACTGTCCCTCAGGACTTGTTTGGCTTCTGTGACTCATAAAGTGTTGATGAGCTCTTTCACAGAAGCTGGATATGATTGCCAAACCAGTCAAAGCCACACTTATCTGTATCAGCAAGTGAACTATAGAGGGCCCCTCACACTCAGACCTGTAAACAACCTCCCAAGTCAATCAAAGAAAAACACAAAGCCTGATCAAAAGCCAGAGAGCTGGTCTTATATCACAATGTATTTTTAAGACCTAAATGCACGAGTTCCATGTTCCATAATTTTAATTTGAAAATCCTCATTTTAAATGTATTGATTATTATTATGAGATTTTTTATACTTCATTTAATTTCTTCTGAAACCTGACTAGCATGTGGCTCCACCCATTTAATAAATATGCATTTATTAATGCATAGTTTTCAAATATTTCAAATAACACAAAAAAAATCAGTGAATGATTCTTGCATATCTGAATAATCTAGCACCTTTGGGGACTTTATTGGGTGTTTACATTATACATAGAGAGATTTTTCTTCTTGTTTGAATTTGAAAACATTCAAGGCTGTAAATAAAAACAGCTGTTGTAATATAATGTCTTACATTTAAAACCCATAAATGAATATGTTAGAAATAAATTATTAAACATCTGCTGTTCAGCTGTATGGCTCAATCAGTCTTCTTCAGATACTAACATGGTGGAATGTCCAAGTAAGAAAGTTTTGAACCCTTCTCCAGGCATTGGGGCTGCTCACCAAAAAGGATCAGTCTAATTTTTTGACAGCTGTATGGTATTTACAGCTCCACTTTGTGAGACCGCCCCTGTCCTCGGATCACTGGCTCAGAGACCTGTGAAGGTCTGAAAGGTAGCGCTTTTACAAAACGGACAGCCTTTGTTCCGCTCTCCTCCCGAACAGCTGAGGCCTGCCACACTGCGGGCCACAGCTGTGATATTAATAGAGCCTGACAGGATTTACCAGTTCAAAGGAAAGTAGGTTAGCAGGGCCCTGATGGCACCAGCACTAGAAGCACGACACCGCAGTTTGTCGGCTTTTTTTTGTTGACATTGTCGCCTCTGTGCTAACAACAAATGATGAGAAGCCACAGCCTGACGTTATTACAGTATTTTCTGAGACTGAGACACCACTTTACAACCCTATCGGTTCAGCTCTTTTATAATAAGTAAGTCTCATTTCTATGCATTTCAAACTATCTGCCTGGATAAGTAGCTGTAGCTTTAGTCTTAGTAACATACTAAAACAGGTTAGTAAAAATAGTTCAGTAACATGCTTGTAGACACAGTGCTAGTTTAATCCTGCGCTAACATGGTGGTATGTGCAGTGGAACAGACAAAAAAGTTACACTGAGTACATTAGATATCTGAAGTATTCTTAGGTGTGGGATTTTTTAATGAAGCAAATAGCATAACACATAGCTAGGTGTCTACATTTGAGTAGTTCTTTATATATAAAATAATACAGAGGGACTGTAAACAGATGGAGTACTGCATTTGATTTTTGAAGTTTACAATGCCAGTTTGAATGCTAGGTCTTTTTTGATAATCATTTGGTAATGTGAAAATCTGAATCAACAGATTCATCAACCTTCTCAGTTTTGAAGGGGGGTTTGTGTCTCCTGTGTTGTAATTAGTCAATTTTCTCTCGTTGTGTATCATCTCATTAGATGTGTTGGAAATGCTCAGTGTGTAAAGTGGATGTTTTTTCTCTTGGCTGACATTTAAATTACTTTGTTGTTTTTTTCCTTGCATAACCTAGATGTTATGCAGATCTAGTAAGACTGCTTAGCCTGATATAGTTGTAGGATGAAGGTGACATTTCCGGTATCATTAGCATAATCATTATCTACGGAAGCATTTTTTCCCATTCTAAATATAATTAGATTGTGCATGTGAGAATTTGATTACTGCAATTACTGCCTTCCTAATCAAGCCTTACTGGACTACCAAGGTTAAAATATCTTTTTTTTCTTTAAATTCTATTACACATACCTGTATAAGCATCTGTTTAAAAGAGTGACAGTATTGTAATTCCTGAAGGTTAATGCAATAGTCTTAAAGTCAAAGTCTTACAGTATAACTATAACAAGATGCACAGTCGCCCAGGTGAGACAACCTGTAAATGACAGTACAAAGTTAATTTGTCTCAGAGAGAGCGCATGGAGGTTGCAGTCAAAGCATCAGAAAAGATGTTTAAGAGCTAGTTAAAATGCAGTTAGTGTTAAAACAAACTGCCCAAGCCAGAAAAGCTATGCCACAAAGCCATGGTATAGCTGAATCAATTCCTACAATGGTCTGCATGTTGTGCAACGGCAGTCTTTGGAGATTTTGCTCCTCTCCTTTGCTCTCTGTAGTCCTCTGTCATTAAAAGCCTTTTTTCTGTGGTGGTTTCAGTCCACAGTTTCGTCCACTGAAGAAGAGAAACTCATTTATTCCATGAGGCCCAAGACGCCACTACTGGGAGACGTGTCAGACATTGATATCAAGACCAACTGGACCAAGTCTCTTCCGCTGCCCACCCCGGAAGAGAAGATGCGCCAGCAAGCCCAGGCAGTACAGGCAGACGTCATCCCGATCAATGTTACAGGTAGGCCTCTAGGCTGACTGGGCACAATACAGGCCTCAGCTCCCCAGCCGCTGTAAATGTGCTAATGTACCATCTGTGTCAGTCCCATTCCTGCTGTTTAATTGAGAATTGTGGGTGTGTTTCGGGTGTTATTTGAAAAGTTTAAAAAATAGGTTTTGGAAAATGTTTCAAAACTTTCTGTTGGATGCAGTGCCTGATTTCATTTAGTGTAAAATTACTGAAATTTCATTCCGTCAGAATCTGTAGAATTGTAGAGTTATAATGTCTTAATTAGTTGATTCTCACTGTCTCCTCCACACACAATGGAACAAATTAAGTGCTTCCCACTTGATTTTTGACAGTATTATTCATGATAACACATTTTACATTGGTTTGAGCACTTCATGTTTTATACCTGTGTCACTCCAGGCAGAGTTAAAAATGTTCCAGATTGTGGCGTAAAAAAGGGTTTCTGTCTCAGTTGCTAACTGCAAAAAAATATTTCAGCATGTTTTTATACTGTCAAGAATTAATTTATTTTTTTTGTAGGATTCCTTAAACACTGTATTTATGACTGTGTAAAGAAAATCACATCTCAAATCAGGTGCTGTAATCTTACCGGTGCCTCCACACCCAAATATAAATGATTGTAGATTCTTATAGAATTGTCACCTGGGAAAGGTATTTCTTTTTCATTCAATTTAAGGGGCTCATCAGCAATCGTATTGCATTAGTATTTGCATTACACTGGAAACACAGGTTTCTTTTATGCCTGTATGCTGTATGTATGTGTGATATATAATATTTCTATTTAATATTGTATATACAACAAGTGTATATACAATACCCACAAGGTTGTACAGAGCCTCTGTTCGACTCATAAATGGACTAGCCAGTACCCAAGCCAGAGTCAAGGTTTGGTGTGAGATCCAGTTCTTATACGTTTTCAATGCTCAAGGGCTGTTTTTTGACAGAACCTTTAAATCTAATGCAATCTGCTTTAAATCTCTTTTTTTTTGTTGGCTATATACCTTTGCACACATATGTATGCATTTACAATTTTCCAATTGGGTTATCTCAACCTCATTGTGAATCCTGAATACTTGAGACATATTATAGGCCGAAATGTTAAATGTGGTTGTAAGACTGGAACTACTTTGTTTACTTGACTAACCAGTAAAAAGAGGGCAAAAGTACAATGTTAGTAATGATAAAATAGACCAGATCTTACTACCTAATGTTCCTAACCCTGGTACAGTAAGAATTGCAGATAGTATTGATTTTTTTGTTCTGTGCTGCAGGTTGTTTTTCTTCATTAAGTAGAAATGGACCAATTCTGGGATAGATTTTTCTCTGGAGGTGTTAGAAAGCTCACATCTTATTCACCAGCAAGCCTCCAGACTGAACTTTCAGTTTCAATGATGGAATTCAAATCCCCTTAGCATCTCAGTTTGATCTGTTTCACATAACCAGCAGGAGATAAATGATCAAATCTTGGGAGTTTCAGTACAATCTCCTTTCCCTGCAGTTGCACTCTGACATTTGCTGTTGTTCCTTATTGCATAAAGTTGCCCTGAGGCTTTGAAATACCAGTCCTTTGAATTCATGAACCACATCCATAAGGGACCACTGGATCTACACACATCCTTCACCTGGGATACATCATTCTGTCATTCTTATAAACTAACAGAAAATACAGGCCTGGCATACAGCCTCTTGAGGTTATATCCAAGACATTCCTTAAAGACAAACGTAATTCCATAAGATTTATTTATCATGGTCAATATTGGACATCCAAATTGTAGAGCCTAAGACATCACGTGTGACACCTACAACTCCTGAGTCTGTTTGCCAGCCTTGTACAGTTAGAACATTGTTTTATGTGTTTTATTAATGTATCGATACTTGCCACATCTAGTTAAAGGTGCATGAGAGTTGCATGCTTGACATTAACCACTGGTTTGCTTGCTTTTGCCGCCTTGCATCAGGAGAAACCTTTGACCGCCAGGCCAGCATCCGGCGGTCATTAGTTAACACTGACACTGTGGTAAGACGGCCGAAGAAAGTCAAAAGGAGAAAGACAATTACAGGGGTCCCCGACAACATTCAAAAGGAACTAGGTATGGCTCATCAGTACTGTATTCCTTCCCTCCACCTTCATTAGCTGCCTTGGGCTGGACATTGATACACTTATTATATCCATTCCAATACAGTCTGATGGCCACCATTGGAGTTCACAAGGGGTTAAGACTAGACAGTTCCCTGCCAACAACATTAAGAGATTAAGGGTGCAAATCTATCACGAGGCTACATTAGTTTGGAAAAAAAACAGTTTCATATTTCATTTAAAAGTCATGGAAGGATTCTTTATGACCTGTTCCAGTCAATTTCATTGAAACAACAATAGAAATTCTGTTCTACTGTCTTGAGTTTGGCCTTTTTGGTTCAGATCGAGCCTTTGGCACCTGCCAGCAGAAGTGAAGAGTTTCTGCTGGTCAGTGCACTTTCATGGGTCATAGTGTGCGAACAGGCCAGTAGTTCAGTAATGCAGGAATAAGAGGCTGTAAGTGTAATTCCTGCATGTCTTGTAGGCTAGTAGTTGAAGCAATACAGAGGAAAAAATGTCTTGTGTTCATGAAGTGGGAAATATACAATAGATCAGAATTCAAATTCAAATTCCTAAAATTTTCAGAGATGATAAAAATCCCTGCCTTCATTGCACTTCAAACAAAATATAGTAGCTGTCTGTAAAAGAAATAGGTCTATGAGCTGGGACTTATAAAGCCCAGCAGAATTTTGCATTTATATTGGATCCCTGTCTTTTCTTATATCCCATTTACTTCATTCCCTCATTAATCACTTTAAGATTATTATTTTATGTATTTTTAATGTATTTTGTTTTGTTTGTGATGTAGTCTAATCCATAGTAATATGTGGAAAAACCATAATACTCATTGCATGCCATAGAATGTTATGTAATCTATCATTTAACATCTGTGTAATCCCTGATTGTCATTGGGACATCATGTCATATTTCCTTAATCACCTAACATTTAAGACTTTTGTATTAATACTTGAATTCAGTGGACCGGGGGTGAGGATCTCAGCACGAATTGCTCATCAGGATGTGGGTTAATATGGGTGTTTCATGAGCTGGTGTTAGGTATCAGTGGTGCAAAACAAGCCTCAAACCACAGCTGTTCCTAAGCCCTGGCTGTGCTCTCTTGTACTGACCTCACACGTGCACTTTCCGTAGTGAGTAATAGGCGTGAAAATTACTTTTTAATTGGAGATTTTGGAGGTGCCCTGCCTCTATCTGTTTCCAGATCTGTCCAGGATGTTTTTTTTGAGTTTGTTTTGTTTTTGTCAGCTGTTGTTGTGACAGGCTTTCTCTCCTACATGACCTCTAACCTCCCTGTCCTTCCTCCACCCGGACTGGGAAAGGACTAGAAAAACACAAGGTTCAGTGGCTTTGGGAAAGAGTCTTGACCCAAAAACAAAAAAGATGTTCTAAATCTTTTTGAAAGATGAGTCCTATCTAAAGAACAGGTTGCTATGACAGAAGAAAAGATACA